AAAAGAAATAAGAAATAAGAAAATGGATACAAAGTAAAAGTAATTTCCAGCATGTTCTCTGATATAGTTACTGTATACTGACCAAGAAATCTTGGAAGTTCAAAAATCAAATTTTATGTAAGTGTATACCTTCCTGGATACAAGCAATATAAAGTCTGTGAGGCAAAACAAAATACTATTACAGCCTGAATAATTTCTGAAAAGTACCTTTAGGTTTATCGCGCTAATAAATATAGATACAGATATGGATAATGGATATTCTGTGCCCCTTTAAGTGGGAAATTACCTTTGCTCCTCTTCTAATGTCCTAGAGAAATGAATGATCTGGCAAGAGAGCCTGAAATTGATGTTCAGCTTTCTTAACAGCCAAGCCGCATAGGAAATGCGGGTATTTTTTATATAAAAATTAAGAAAAAATACCAAACCAGCAAAATATATTTTCTTGCTTATTTATCTCTTTCTATTTCCTGTCTTGAGAGACACTATCTTTCAGTTATAAAAATGTGTTTCAAGCATAAAACGAAGACTATTGTATGTATGGAATATTATTATTTTATGTTTATTGTAATTCAATATTACTTTAGGGGCGGAAAACTATATTAATGCATTACAAACATTAACTCTGTATTGTGAACTACTGTGGCATTAAAGAACAAAGAAAAGCTACTCATATTTGACTAAATGTACCGAAATAAGCAGTAATTTTACAACTTGTTACAGAAATAGAAAAAACATTATTTTGGGGGATGACAAAGCAAAAGAAACCTGACAAACATGCATAGCAAATTAGAAATAGAGAACACAGAACTTTCTAACTTCTTATTTAATAAAACATTTATTTCAGACTATATAAGACTTAGATAAAGCTTAGATATTTGGTGAGAATCAAACCTCTATATGGTAGCAAAATGTCTCATGTGTTGGGGTAAAGTCAGCTGAGTGTGACCTTTGGTGTCAACCAAGTTCCTGCAGGACTGAGTGAACTGTGTCTTCTATTTGGTACTAAAAGCCTATTGATTACCTTTCAGATTCACCTTTCTGAAATAATGGAAACAGCTAGCACAGCATGTTCCTGATGGTATGCATATGAAACTTTAATGTTGGCAAAAGTCAGTGAAAGGAATTCAGGACAAAAGTAAGGGTTGAAAAAGAATGGGAATGGTGTAAATTGTGGGAAATCTTTATATTTTATGCATAAAACTGGTAAAAATGCAATTTTAGCAATATCCATCTACCTGAAATGAGTGAAAAAGTGTGCATCTGATATAAACAAGTTAAAAACATACAGTACAGATGGTAATGAAACAAAGCAACTGAAGAAACCAAAATATAAAAACTTTATGCTCACCGTTTTTTTCAGGATTCAGGATTTTTTTTAACTACATGTGCCCGGCAGGGATTTAAATTAATTAAATGGAGTTTGGCAGATAAGATTATGATTCAATTATTTAAGACGTCTTTTTATATTTATTGGGGGTTTGTGATAAAACATGCTGTAGGTGAACTGTATTAAATTAAACATTCCATCTGTCACAGAAAGAAAGTCACTCAAGATCAATATAGAAATTAAAGTACAAAATAATGCTGTCAATGCTTTTTAAGTTAGTACTTAACATTTTTTTCTATATAGGTAGAATCAGACTATTCTGATATATCTGTACATAATAATAACAAATGTAGGCATATTCAAAGGGTACTCAAAAGATACTGAGGTCGCTCAGTGGTGTGGCTGGGTCTCAGTACCAGGCCTTAGGTGTCACAATTGTAATCCCACCCCCTTAAGGGCGCTCCCGCTCTTTCACAGTTTAGTTCATTTTGTGGACCTGCTCCCTTTTCCAGCCTCCCTACAAAAGCCAGATGCTTATTCTGTTCCGGGCTCTGTATTGGAACACGGACGCTCGGAGGCCCGCCTACCACCGAGTCGTCCTACGTCTGCGGCTCGAAGGCATTGGCCTCCTGTCAGCGTCCTGAACCAGCCGAGTCCGGGACCTGGAGCTCCTGGTCCTGTTACCCTTTTTTTGTTTCCCGTCCTTGCACAGGATCCCGTTCCGGCTTTTAACTGTGTTTTGTTTCATCTCCTCCTGCATTTCCTGGTTTAAGGACTTTTGGACTTCGCCCCGTTTTTTTCCTGGATGCCCTTTGGACTGTTTGCCTGGACCACGCCCCCCTGAGCACCTTCGTCACGCCCCCCTGTTCGTCTACCAGCCCAGTTCCTCGTCTCCTCACCGTGTCTATTCACTCCCTTCCGGATTGTGCTGTCTGCATAGGGTCCTGAAAGACGCTTCGTAACATTAGGCCTGTCTGATGTGGAATGTGCATGTACTGCTTGTGTTGGAATCCATTATTGCTGGGTGTACCTCTTACCCCCCAACTACCATATATAACCTGGATAGTATTTAGTAGTTAACCTAGATATTAAATCAGGGTTATTATATATTTTAATTTATATTAATATTCAGCTACTTAAAACAAGTAACCAGTAGGAAACTTGTTATAGTTGATACTTAGTCCTTTATGTGACCTGCCCGTGTCTGCAGATTACAGCAGCTGCATAACCTGTCCTTGTCCATTGACCATCATAGTTGCTGGTTCTTAAAATTCTATATTAGCCATCCCCAACTCCAGCACATTGTCCTCTGCCATATTCTTCTGGGTCTCACTGATTTCTGTCTTGTGTTATCTGGCTTTAATCTGGGGCTGTGATCAACAAACAATCTATTCATTTTCAACACATGCCCCAACAACTATATTCTCATACAGTTTAATTTCAAAAATGTGTTTTGTGCAGTGAATTTTCTCTGCATTCGTTTTTTGGTCTTTTTAAGTAATTCTTAATATTTTCTAAGGCATTAGAAATGCATATAGTTTCTTGATATCTCTCCTGGTAAGACGCCAAGTTTCACTTCTCTCTGTAGATACAGTATGATAATAATAATCAACCTTATATTAGGTAGATTCAGTTTCATCTAGAGAAAGATGTTTTTAAGTAGCAAAATATTTTTAAGCTTTATAAAAGCAGCCTTTGTCTTTCCAATCTTTATTCTTTCCTCTAAGGAACTGATACCATATTGGCAGGGGGTAGTGATATGTTAACATTTCAGCTTCTGATCATAAATATTGATTTCCGAAAAAATCAAGATCTGAATTCACCCCATTTCAGGTCACATTTAAAGTTTTCCACACTGCCAATAATTGATTAATAACATGAACATGAAGGGAAATAAGCAGCCCTGTCACATCATTGTCCTAATTTAAAATGATTTGCTTAAGTCATTAATTAATCCATTTTAATGCTGGATCTTGAATTAGTTAAAAGCTTCCATGACGTTGACCGTTTTCATTGTTCTACAATATTCCTCATTACTGTAATTTTACTCTATGAAATGTTTTTTTAAGTTGGTAGATTATTATGTGCCTCATGCATGTGCATGACAGCCTTGTCTGATAACAGATGTTTATTCACAAATCATGTTGTTCATATTTCATTTTAAAAGAATGGCTGCTAATCACTTGCCAGTAACAGACAGAAGTTTCTCTTCCCTTCAGCTTGAGCAATTAATTAAATCTCTTTTCTAAGGCAATTTAACAATGGTAACAATGGTCCTTCAGGTATTCTCCTATTGGCTCAAAACTATATGCACAACAAGTTAAGTGTTTTTAATGCATCTTAACCAACATACTTGAGCTTTTCAGAACGAATGCTGTCTAAACGTGGTGCCATATTATTTTCAAGATCCTGTGGTCCTTCTGTGATTTTTTCAGATTTCACAGATATCCACTTTCAAATGTGGTATACTCAACATTTGGTATGCATTGGTTCTGATTGGTTACTTTTTTGTTCTAGTCACTTATTTTCATCTTCCCCTGAGTTTTGATGACTTCTCCTCTTTTTCCCATTTGTGGAATCGTACTAAAGTTAAACCCATAACAAGCAAACTGCTACAGAACAGTAAAAACTGTTTGAGTGCAATGCCACAAAGTGAGTTGCCAACTATATGCCTGATCTGTGATTGTAAATACAGTATAAATAGGCTCATTGCTGGTTAATCCAGCCATTGTCAGAAATCTGCTTATTCTGCTTATTCCTTGTAACAGTTGAGGTGTCCTGGAACCTATCCTAAATAAGGTACAAAGGATGTCAGCATTAATTTAATATTCAATAATGACAAGCTTTATTAAATGTGATTTTCAAATGTTTAATTGTTTTTTTTTATTCTTCACTGAGAGTTGTGGTGTGGCAAAATATTTCTTGCCATTATTAAATTATTTTCTTTGGGTATTAAAGCTGTTGGCTATAATTGTTCACCTCGATTTGTCAGCAGCTTTTCAGCCATACCTCTGGGTCTTTAAAGATACCAAGCAGATCCTGAAAGTTACACTTTCAGTAGTTACTTTCATATATATCTCAAAGCTCAGCTCAACAGCTGTGTTCCAGCTGCAGAACAGGTCTGCAACCCACCACCACAATCCTTCAGAAGATTTAAATGTACAGTCAGATGAAAATCCACCTGATCTCTTTAGTGGTCCAGATGGTGGGATTCAATTAAATATTTAGGGACTAATATCTACAGTCATCCGTGAATAAGTTTGGAGTCTAAAATGTTTCTTTGCAAATATTTCTTTTTTTTACTGATTCCAGAAGGAAAGGGGTAAATTTTTTTATTAAAGATTAGTACAAATGCCTTCTTTGCAATTCCTTGTAAAATAATGCTATTGTTTCACCTTAGCTTTTGTCTTGACATCTGTCTCTGGATTGGAGATGAAAGCGATTTAAGATCCTGCAATGTACCTTCACATTTAGTAACAGAATTGACAGCTTTTTCAAACAGAATTATTTAAGTGTTTCCTAAAAGTAGAAAAGGTTATGAATATACTGTAAATTTTCATCTAATGACAAATACATAAGAATGATAAATAGTACATATTTGTCATTGGAAAATAGTGAATTAAAATTAAATTTTATTAAATCTACAAAATGCATTAAGCAAACAGAAACTAACCTTTGATGCCAGTGAAAGTCCCGGTTCGGCCAAAGATGTAGTAAAAGAAATAAGCTGCCTTGAGTCACCATGGAAATTAAGTTCCAGACCAAAAAGTCCATGTGAAATAGGCTGATATAGGAGTCAATTCCAAAGTGGTGTGTCAGGTCAAACTTCATCTGATTATAAGACAGTTCAATCAGCCCTTGCCCAAGGCAAAGCTGAGGGAAGATGATAAATGCCCACCGAAGAGTATTATACATGTTGTGCAAACTCTGTAGGCAAAACATGGAAAAACAAAAGAAGATATGAGAATAATGAGTAGTTGTCACGTTTGTACTAAAATATAGTGCTGAGGAAACTCAAGTCTTAATTATGAAATTGCTGATTATTAGCCCTAGGAAGGATGGGTAAGAGAGGTGATTTTACTCCAAATATCACCCAATCTTATCAAGAGAAACAGATGATAATAATACAATTAAAATTATAAGGAAAGACACAGGATAAGTTGAATTAAGTGGACTAACAATAAGTTACACAGTTAATGGATGGATGGACAAATAAAAAAAAAAAACTATGTTTTACTTTATAAAACTGAAATAGTCATCTATCCATCCATTTTCTAACTGGCTTATCCAATACAATTACTGTACGTAGGGGCCGGCATGCAATGAGAAAAAGGCACCATACACCCTGGACAGGATGCCAATCCATTGTAGGGCAAAAACAAAACATAAAAAAAACAAAATGGAAGTATTTATATGCACGTCTAGGGGAATTAGATAAACATTTACCACCAATTATTCCTTAGCACAATGAGAAAAAGGACAAACTGAAATTTGTAAATGGTTTGACTTACAGTGGGCAATTTTTTCTGCAGCACTTATTGCAAATTTATTGTATTAGATCACAGCCTGTTCTTCTTAATTAAAGAAACCCACCTATTGTTTTGAATTCAAAGACTATTTATAATTGCCTTCATGTAGAACTAGGGTAACTAACAGCTGGAAACCAATAGGTTATAATGTCAGTAGGAACAATCCTGGGCAGCATGAAGGTGCAGTGGTTTGCATTGGAACCCAGGGCCTTGCAACACTGGGGTCCTGGGCTCAATTCTGAACCCGGGGAGCTATGTGCATGGAGTTTGCATGTTATCCCTGTGTTTGTGTCAGTTTCGTGCAGGTGCTCCACTTTCCTCCCACAGTCCAAAAACATACTGATAAGTTAACTGGATTCTGAGAACATTGATGATCCTTGTGTGCGTGTGTGTGTCTGTGTGTGCCCATTGCTTGCCAGGATAGGCTCAAGCTCCCCTGTGATCCTGAATTGGATGAAGAGGTTATAAAATGGATGGAAAAAAAACAATCCTATTAGACACTCAACCATTGCACTAAGAATACTTCTTTTGAAGATGAAACAAAATCACCAAAGAGCAGATCAAAGCAATGTTAACACTCACAGGCACCTGAATATTCCATATACTGTATCTGATATAGAATGAGGGCACATCATAGAATATGCTGCACCTTTGGAAAAATGGAGTAGTATGGTGCAGTTAAGATTAACTAACACATACAGTACAGAAACAATGCTCAAAATTGTGTTCTATTAATTTGTTTTCATTTTGTAACAGTAAAAGAAAAGTGCAGTACAGTTTAATCATCCAGTCTGGGGATTAATATTGTGAAAACACATAAATGAGGGTATTTGAAAATCATAATGCTATACAGTATTTAGGGTTGTGTTGAATACTTACAGTATGTTCCCAAGTATTATCCTGTTAACCAATTACTAAACCATGCAGAAGTATTCTTTCCTTCCAATAATGACCCAAATTTTTGAGTTACAAATTCATACATTTTTCTAACATGAACGCTCAATTAGGCAGCCAAACATCCTTTCAATTATCTCATTAGCCTGGCTAGTTATGGCAGATTTCTCCATTGAGTCAGTGCTCCATCATTCAGCTACCTGGGCAAATGTATACACTCAACATAGCTGTTTCAAACATCTAATTCCCTATCATGTTTCGAGTACCATTCCAGCTGAGATTCAACTTCCCTCTAGCAAACTACTGCCAGCTCTCCAGAGTCATAATGCACTGGTTTCCTCCTTTGTTCAAGCTGATTCAGCTGTCTGTCTCCTCTCCAGTATCTCCATTGCCACTACCCAGGCAGTGTCTCTCCCACTAGACTTCCTAGATTTTCTCTGGACAGCCCTCACCCAGATTCCTCATCACTCTATTCTCCCTCAAACATTCAGCATGACTGCTCCTCTCTCCCAAGTCATCACATATATTTCTCTCTGGAAACTCCCAAAGAGAGCCTGAGTCCTGTACTCTGTTTTCAACCTGTCATCTCACCGCAGCTCTGTTCTTCAGTGGCTGCAGTACAAAACAATTGTGTTTTTATCTTTTTTACCAGCCTTCCTGAGGTGCTGGTAGAAAGTTTAAGGACCTGTCAATAATACTTTCAAGGTAGATGTGAGTTAGATCATGTTCCTTTGTTTTCTCCACAATGCATTACGGCACACAACACATTAAATATGTTGCAAAGGAACAAGTAATAGGTTTATTCCATGCTGAAAAGAAGAAGAAAGAAAACACAACATTTCTGCAATGGAGACTTCTTCAGGTCTCATCTGTTGGGGTTGTTGTTAAGTATTCTGGCAGTTCTGAATCTATTATGTAGGCCACAATCCTTCCATTGATTAAAACTGTTCACAGTAGCCACAAATTGAGCACATGTTAGCAGCACTGAACATTTCTATATCTGCCCACGGTGCCACACTGTTCCATAGGTTGATGAAAGATCTATAAGACAACTGCAGTATTAAGTTTATGGCCTTGTGTTAAGGTTAATGATGTTGGTAATGGATGTGCTGGAACAAAAGTCCAGTCTGTTCTTGCGGAAGGAATGGGGTTATTCTTAAAGAATGAGCTGCTGCTAGAGCGTTTAGGCTTTGCAGAGCAATTAATTGGATGTGTACCTCCCAGAGTCATACAGTATGTTGCCTTTCCTGTAATTTTCCCACACAATTACGATAATCTTATTTTAACTGTGAGGAATATGACTGTTTTCCATCGCAGCTGAGAAGAGTCTTGGGAGTCACTTTTTTGCCCATGGACTAAGGTCAATTCTAGTGGATGCTCAAATACACAACACTTTTATGTCATAAAATAAATATCAGTATAAGCAAAGATAAATCAAAAACTGAAATAGATTGATTTTATAAGTATACATCACCATGAGTCAATACTTTGAGGAAGCACCTTTAGTAGCAATTACAGCTTCAGGTCTTTGTGGATAAACCTTTGCCAACTTCGCACATGCATTGGGGATTTTAAGTTTAAAAGTCTTGTCACAGATTTTGTATAGGATTTGACTGGCCCACTCAATGACATTTGCTTTCTTCTCTTCTGTTCAGCTTTGATCTTGTGGTGTGGGGTCTTGCTAAATGGTGAATATTTTGTTCCTGTATTGGCATATTTAGCAGGCTGAACTAGGTTTTCCTCTAGGATTTCCCTGTACTTTATCAATTTTTCCCTTTATCTTGATAATCTTTCCAGTTCCTGGGATGATGAAAAGCAGTGCCATAACATAATGCTGCCACCTTATAATGCCTGACATTAGAGATGATGTTGACTGGGTGATGCACTCTGTTGAGCTTGTGCCAGAGACCAAAACATTCCAATTCTGTTTCATCTAAAGCAAAACATTCTAGCAAATTTGCAGTATCACTGAAAATCTCTGATGAGAACTAGAGTACATACGCATTTGAGTTGATTTTGTCTGGGTGGTAGGCTTTTCCTCTTCTTGATTGACTTCACCATGCTCAAAGTGACATTCGGTACCTTTGATTTTGTAAACCCTTTTTTGTAAATTCTGCCCTTGTACAATATTATCTCTGAGAGGTTTTAAGAGTTCCTTGGTTTTCAGGGTTGATCTTTGATTGAAATTTACTACCTGATTAAGGGCCCTTAGGAAAACAAGTGAATTTATTCTGAAATCACAGACAGATGCTATTCAACTAATTGTGTGCACCTGAAGTAATTTAGGTTTTGCCACAGAAAAGGTGTGAATATTTATGCAATCAGCATTGTTTTTTCAAGTTCATGCTGACATTTAACTTCATTCACCCATGAAAGTTCTGTTTTCGCATTCATATTTTGAAATATTCACTGTAAAAACTGTGTATATACTGTATCATTTGTAATTCAACAAAATAGCACATCATTGGAAGGATGTAAATCATTTTGGAAGAAAATGTGTTTAATTTCAAAGTATATTTTGTGTTTAAATAGTACATTTAGGTGCCGCTGTGTATTCCCTTCTGCTGGCTTTTAAACAAAGCAAGTTAAGCTTTTTAAACTGTTCAATAATAACCAGGTGTGTATCATCTCAATGCTCTTTGAATTTATGATACAGAGATTAGTGTTGTTACAGATGAATAGGAACCTTGGGGAGCTCTTCAGTTAATTAAACATTTGTGTAATGTTAGTAGAGGCTGCTGCATAATTCATTTGCGAAAATTGTGTTAGATAACACAGCATAATGGAATCTAAAATAATAGACTGTCACTTCACCCATTGATGGGTGTTTGGATCAGTCTTTTTGTTTTATAATTCTAAAACTTTGGGTAAAACTATAGATAGGGGAAATATACCTGATTATCGTTTGGTGTTTTAATATAATTAATTTAGCATAAAAAATAAAACAGGGAAAAGAAAATGGATATGGCAGCACTTAATTGCACTATTTTAAAGATTAAACAGTTTTGAATTAAAGTTAGTTAAGACTGGTTCCCAACTGTTAGGGCTCCTTGAGGGACTTCTCGTGTCTTCTGTTTTTATGTTCCAGTTAGTTCTTAATCACTGCCTAATTGGATTTATATTTGTATTTTGGCAATTTTTAATTTGCATTCTGTTCTTCAAAAATAGAATGGTATTCGTAATTGGAATCAAATACAAACTAATACCTACGATGTGCTGAAACGTAGCCAGTTGGACCAGAAGCAAAAACAACTCAGTGTCAGATACATTTTCATTTCCTCTTGTTATTTAGTTATTTAGACAGAACTAAGTAAATTCTTAAGCTGATTTTTCTTAAGAAATCTCATTCAGGTTCTGTTTGCTGAAAGTGTTGGAACAATATACAATATGAGTAACGAAACCCTAAAGAATGAAATATCCAAACAGGCAGACTGATCAGTTAAAGGCACCCGTTAATAACAATGATTACCATTTTGTCTGGTTTGAAAACCAGTAGACACAAGGCTCCCCCAGGACTAGTTTTGGGAACCATTCAGTTATGAAAGAACTTATTGCAAATGAGTCAAGAACATCTGTGTCTGTTGTACCCCACACTTGGTGGTAGCATAGAGAACACAATAATACAGTATGTGCACTTTCACCAGCCATAAAGATGTCCAACCTGAAATTGTAGTATAGTATTTTAACTACAAACTCCTCAAAAGCCCTTTTCAAAACCAAGCCCTATTCAAACAGTTTGGATTCCATCCCTCTGAATAAAAAACACAGTCTTGAAATGATAATTAGAACACCATGTTTTTTAAATGTAAATATTCTAGCAGGCCTAACATATTTTTTTAAATATATCTAATTTCACCCAAATCTTGCTGAATCACAGCTTTTATACAGTATGTGCACTTTGACAGTACATGGATGTACTGTATATGGAACATTCTATATGCCATCCATAAAATGGTTCCCCATTTAATGTCATTTTCTTCTAGCTTTATGTACTGTACAATAGAAACCCATTGTTGACATGATGGAAGTGAGAACTGACTAGATTATTTTAAAGTCTGTGCAGAGGTACATTACTGTAGTTATCAGAATCTGACCACTCTTCTAACTCTAAGGTCTAACAGGGGATAGTTTAAAAAAGATGGCAATTTATTGCCTTTTCTCAGAGATATTTCAGATGAGACCTTGAATGCTTGGATGAAAATTGTACATTGAAAGAAAATTGAAAACCAAGCAATAAATTTAATGTTGGATAACCTCTGATACGAAAACAGAATGCAATAAAAATGTCCTAAGACAAAAGGTAAAGTACTGTAAAAAAACAAAAAAACTTTCCAGAGCTACAGTATGTACAATTACTGGAAATTGATGGTTCTTGGCCTAATGTTAGCATTATAACATTGGAGATATAGGGTAGGACATAATCCTATAGTTAGAGTATTAACTACGTTAAGAGTATTATACTGGGCTAGAATTCACAATTGATTAAAATTAAATATTATAAGGTTTCCATGAGGTTTTTGGTTAGGGTTAAGAAAACCAAAACCAAAAATCAAATGGCTAGATTATACCAGTTAAGTTAAATTAGTAACTTGCATAAAGGTAGAATTTGGGGATAATGTTTGTGCTGGTTTTAAAATTAGAGTTAGGGGTAGTTCCAATGTTCTAAATAGTGCTATGATAACGCCAGGATTAGATTTTATATTTGATTGGTGTTTGAGCTAAAATGCAGAGATAGAGTATTAGGTGTAGGTTGTGAATTTAATTATTGGGGATTTAGGTAGATTAATTATTAGTGCTTATTTTACTTATTTTAGAGCAATTATGTTTCAGCAACTGTAATTTAAAACATACAGTAGGTAAACAGTAAAATGAATAGAAAATATGGACACTTGTATTTTAATAATGGAGTAATTTTCAATTATTTTATGAATTGGCAAAAATAAGGGATTTTTTCCATTGCGTGTTGTAAATATGACCACTGGACTTCAGTTAATTTTGAATAATTTAATGCACACTCACTTCTTTATTTCAAAATTCTAAAGAAGCTGAGCTTTTATGAATACATTGGCACTGACATGTCAAGCAAAAATTTGAAATGGCAAAGAAATATCAAATTTGTTTAAAAATATTTTGGACATCAAGTAACTATAAATTAATACTGCCATAACCTCTTTTCCATTCTGAAGACAAGAACATACTGTATGTGACTATTCCTTCAAAGGTTTATTAGGCTTTTTATCAACATACTTGAAAAGACACTTCATATTTTTTTCCCTTGTTTGGGAACAAAAAATATCAAAATGCACGGTACTCCAACACATCTAACAACCTAACAGCTTAATGAAAATTACACATCAGCAAGAGGTCTCATTGTGTGTAAGCAGCATTGTTTATTGAAGCATCACTCAAGATCCAAGAAATAGAAAAAAAAAACAATGTATGAGTCACAGGTGCTGATGGGCTACACATCTTAAATGTTATTTTTCAATGATTTTTATTCTGCTTTTTGTGGAATGGCAGATGCTCTTGAGAGCTGTTAGACACATACAGTACAAGGATTCAGTATGTCATAGATTAGTCATTCTTCTGATCTGTATGTATATAACATTCTTCTGTTAAGAGAACAGTGATTTAATCAAAACCCTTACGAAAACAGCCCTTCCATGTTGCTGTTGTAGTGCAATACGTAGTTGATGTGGAATAAATGAGTGCTTGCAATTCTTGGATTTCAAATTTGACATTTTTATCAGTATGGTAGTTTTGGTGCATATCAGATACGTTTACTGTACATCCTGTTTGCTACTGTACCTCTTAATAAATCATTTCTTAAGGAGTCGGGAAAAATATAGAAAACTGACCTGTTTGTAAGACAGAAGAGCCAGGAAGCGAGGTAGAAAGCTAAGGAACACTGTGCCAAGCCCGAAAACAAAGTTCACAGAGATGTAGACAATGAAAGCAATGTCTGGGCTGGAGAACAACTGAGAAACAAGGTACATCCATGACAGTGTTGAAAACCTAAAAACAACAACAATTAACATAATCTGTCATGACACAGTACATCTGGAGTGCATGGGGACTACAAGGTCATTTAGTTTTCATTGCACTTGGGCTTCCATACAAGTTTAAGATATTGAGGAGATGCAGACATCTGGAAACCCCACTGGAGTCAGGGGTTCAATATCACTGCAGGAGCCTTCAAAAATAAAATTGTTAAAGAATGTCATTTTTTAGTACAAAATTAAATGTACATGGTGATTTCCATAGAGACTTTATTTAAATAAATAACGAAAAATGTTTATTGTCTATCTTAGCACTGTATGTTCCTACTCTGATTTCTGTTCTACGGAAAGAGTAAAAAGGTAATGGTTCTATAGATAGTGACTTTCAATGAGGATAGTGCTACCCAATAATCTGAACCAATTATTCCAAAAATATTCCCTGTGTCAATAGTGTTATTAGTTATTATTCCATAACAAAAGCTTATTTTTAAAATGGACAGATTCACACCGTCTCTTCTTGGTTTTGACCCAAGCACCTCCTAATTGATGGGCAACTCTCCAAACCACTAACGGGGCATCTGGACAGTGTTTTTATAAACATGGACTGAAGTCAATCAATACCACTTTTGCCATCTCAATTTGTTCCCTTTACCTAATGTCACGCCTGAGGAAATAGATATTTAAAGCAGAAAAAAACACAAAAAAGGGAGATGAAGATGATGGATGGAGGTACAAGGAAACAAAATATTTGCAGATCACAGACTTTGACTTTTGTGAAGTTCACATCTTTTATAATAAAATATTTTATTTTTTTTATTTTAGAGAACAGATAAAGCCATTTTAATTACAGATGACATTACACAACAATCCTTTTATGATACAAATGTACCAATAAACATAACACATTGAAATTGAGTCTATTCTTATCTGTTCCCTTAATATTTTACCAAAATCTAAAATCCAAAACTAAAGAAGATATGTTTTTTATGATTTATGAAGAGGGATAAAAGTACGGAATATAGATAAAAATTCTAGTTTCACTAAGAATCTTTGTTGTATACAGTATACTTTAGCACTACTATATACAGTATAGCACTATTCACAATGAACATGAGAAATACTTTTACATTTTAGATATTGCTTTGAATTTCCAGTCTTTCCATTTCCGAAGAGAATGTGCTTAATAATAATTGTATTTGTAATGGTAAAAGGTCCATTTACATTTATACTACAATAAAGAACTCAAATACACCACCTTAAAGACCTGTCTGGCAGCTGATGATTTCAATCCCTGCTCTATTATATTCCTTTCTTAATTCAGGATAGCCACCTCCATGTATGTCATTAATTGTTCTTTGTCATTGTAGCATTAATCAAAATGCTTGGCTTTTAGCAACTGTCAGAGCAAATCCCATTATATATATGCCAATAGTCCCTAAACTTCAGACACATAAAAAGGTGCATAAGGTGCACCAACTCCATCCATTTTCTATCCGCTTTATTCAATAGAGTGTCATAGGGGAGATGGAGCCAATCCTGGATGGAATGGGCATGAGGCAGAATACACCCAAGACTAGGTTAAGCTCTCGCAAAGAATTTGTTAGGACAGCCACTCCCAGGTAGCCATCCCTAGATTAGAAATGGGCTTGAATTTTCTCCATTTATAGATTATTTTACTTACCATGGAATGATACACTTCAAATTGTTTGGAAATAACAATTTCCAACTTTCCAAAATCCCAGACTGATAGGCAGCAACAATTCTCTTTCAAACAATTCTCTTTCAACTGTCATGAATTTATTTCGTTCTGGGCATGATGTGTTACCAGAGACCTGACAAACTGACAATGGTTCTGATTCTGACATACAGGTGGAATCACTTTCTGATGACCAACTAATCATTTGTGCACATTTTGGTGCACCTGATTCTACATACCCTCTAATTGAGATGGTAGGAATAAGGGTGTACTTGCTTTTTCACACAAAGATTGCTGACTGATTTTTTGCAGCATTGCTGAATGATGACTGACTTTAAATAATGACAAAGTAGATTTTTTGAGTATTGTTTGTCAAACGAAATGTGTTTTATCAAACCATTAGGACTAAGCGAGGACTAAGCGAAGGTCAAATATGTCTAAATATGTTAAACCTAAAATTCTTTACCTGATTCTAAAGGTTTAAGACAAAAGATTTGTTCTTTTCATGGGTCATAAGGAAAATTAACATGAGGATAACGCAAATGAAACAGAATCTGAATAAATTATAAATTATTAAATCAGCCATATTAAAACATAAATACTCAAAGTGAACAGGTCATTCCTAGTGAAGTCATGAAAACATCCTCCATAGGAATGGACTATAGTCCATATCAGAATAGCTAGATAAATAGTACATGCAGGGAAGAGAAGAAACGAAGAATTCATTCACTTCCAAAGATGTCAGATTTAGTTGAATTAGAAGCATGATTACACATTTTTAAAGTGAATATTTTAATCAAAATGTGAATGCTTAAAGTTAACACTTAAAAGTGAAATACATTTATTTTAGTTTTTTTCTTTTTCTTTCCAGTTTATGCTGGCATTTTATCACCCATAAATATTTGTATTTTCATGAACGTTTCGATTGAAAGTATTCACTTTAAAAATGGGTAGATATACTGTATATACATGTGTGCACATACGTACAGTACTGTATACAGTAAATGTATTTAAACTATTTTGCCTACTTCTGTCCTGTCTGGAGTTTAGCACATTTAAACCAATGTGATTAATTTATTTACAAAAAGATTCAGTTAAAGCATAAAAGCTAAAAAATGTAAATACTATCTACAAACTACTGGCATTTTCTTTCAATAGTCCTACTGAAAATATGAATGTTAAGTTCAAATTAACATTAATCTTTTTGTATGCTTTTGAAATTTTGAATATTTTCTCTAGCTTCTACAAAATGTTTCTTTATGGACTAGGATTATAAGAAATGTTGCTATATACCATATAGACTGCACTATTGACTTTCTCACTTTCTTTCTTCATATTGTCAGCCATTGTATTTTTCTTAGTGTGGTATTGAACTCTAAAACAAATTGGTCTAAAAGCAAGGTAAGAGAACAAGTATAAGTGCATGTAACTGGGTGCAACTGTGCCAATTTAAAAAAAAAATTGATTCCTCTTTCTCAACATGTGCAAAATAGATGAAATTGTGCTTTGCACATGTAAGTCCTTAGCTCCTGGCTAACTAGGGTCATCCAGTCACGGGTCACTTTTTTTGGATCAATGATTTTAGAGTCCACAACTCAACTATGGCGAGCATGTTTGGCCATGAATGGCCATTTTGGAAATACTGTTTGCCAGTGAAAGTCACATTTTAAAGATTTCCCTTAGAACCTAATATTCTATTGAGGTAAATGTGAATCCTCTCTTGAAGTAAATGTGTATATTATATTTTACAGTATGTACTGTAAGAGTTCTGTAATAAGGATGATAAATCCTTATTAATGTATTAAGGTATTATATGTAAACTTTTGCAAAAAAATGTAATGCTATTCATTTTCTGGAAAGTTTTAATGGCAATATGACTTTTTGTCTGTTTTAGGAGTTGGGGTGCTGATCACTATTTTTTTCTTTGACATTTCCATTTTAAACTTCCTGTCTTCAGAGTCATTTTTTTTTTGTTTTTATTTTCAGTTTAAAGACTTTATTAATGAGAATCTTGTCACAACTGCATCTTTATGTAGGACTGGGAGTTACTTTATCCCTTTGTTCTTGTCTGGGGACCTGGGTTATTGAATGTCTGTTAGTCTGATTACTTTTCTTTGTCTACATGTTGCATTATCACTTTTAAATGGCTATTGGAATTATGTTTTTATAGATTGGGTTATTTATCTTTATTTGGATATTTTAAACCCTAAGTCATGTCTTGTATGTAATGTATGCTTTGGCCTTGAGGAGTCACCACTTGAATAACGAGCTAGCAAATGAGTAAAATAAAAGGAAGAGATCAAAAATGGGTATCTTTATAGGGTTTAAATTTTGATTCCCCTTTGAAAAGATTGCTTGATTCCTAAAGATCAATTATAATGAGACAGATTCAAGGCCTAATTTTATGTCAGGGTAAATGTGTTAACAGGTGTACAAAGCACATAACTTTTCAAAAAACTCCTAAATGCACATTAACAAGATATAGGTTTATTCCATGCTGAAAAGAGAAGAGAGAAAACACAACGTTTCGGCTGTGAAGCCTTCTTCAGGTGTGAGCTTCACAGCCGAAACGTTGTGTTTTCTCTCTTCTCTTTTCACCATGGAATAAGCCTATTACTTGGTCCTTTCTTAAATTACAGATAAGATTACTAACATTTTTCTTTAAATTTATATCCCATTTTGATATTTTGAAAAGTTCTCTTGGTAAAATCATTACATTGTCCTTTGAAACTTTTCAATTCATGCTATATTCATAAGTCATCCAAAAATGGCTTTTTATCCTCTACTTACATTATTTCTGACCACAACTAAGTTCTTCCCTAACAGCTTTTCCAATGGCAATGGTCAATTCCTACCCAAATAGGACCAGCAGCAGGGCAGCTGCAGTGAGGTTCTCCCGGAATATGAAGGCAGGCAGCTGGAATGCTGTAAACACCCCAAGGCACAGACCAACTGGGACAAGGTAGAACACCTGCATTAATACAGAAATCAATACTGTAAACACAGTGCAGATAAGAAATATAAGTAAAACAGTAGAGCTATTCCACACTACAATTTTGTCATATGTCTTTATTTTTATATGATGATAATATTAAGAGTTTACCATATCAAATATGAAATTAGAGGCCCAGTAGATTATATGGTTGAGTCCAGAAATATGTTGTAGCCGCTTCTCCCCCGAGACATGATCTCTGACTACTACTGTGCCAAGGCTGGCTGTGAGGATGGAGAATCCCAACAGGATACACAAGACAACACCACACTGCCGAATACTCTCCTGGCTGCAGATATTATATATTATATTATGCAAATATAAGACACCGTCAAAACGCAAAAGAAAACAATGTCAGAAGGCCATACAAATGTCATTCTAACTTACAGTACTTAAAAAAAGCAACAATTACACATTTTTTATCAAAAACATATATAGCATATTGTGTGAAAACTTATACAGTATATGAAATATATAAAAGCTTTAAAATATATAAAATAAAAACAGAGCATTAAAATTGTCTAAAGTGATGTTTTTTCTTTATGCTTGGAAAATCTGATATACTCATTTGATCTACATCTCATGCAAACATGCATGCATGTGTCTGGACAATGTTTCTAAACTTCATTTTTCAAACTGACTTACATTCTGTCTTCATCCAGAAAGGCGACACCATAAGGATGACTATTTAGTGTTATTCCTAAAACAACAGGCACAAACCAAAGACTTAGAAAAATCCTTAATTTTTTAAAAAGTATCCCTACTTAGTTAAAAACCTCTGTAAAACCTCTGTAAGAATCATGATACAATTATTTTTCTTCCTGCAATGTGTAATATTGTAACATATTGTGTAAAATCAATGTTGCTGAGCTTAATTTCATTAGCTGCTTCACATTACTTCTCCAAGAGTAATGTTATCTTACTCAGCATGAATAAACGATACATGAATGATACGTTTTGTTCTCAAATTGGCAGAACAAATAGCAATCAGAACATTTATACTACTCTTGTACACAGCATTAAAATAACAGCATGAGCAAGAAGCAGAACAAGAGTAAAAACAGAAATGAGTCACTGAAAGGGAAATTGATAAACATTCAGAGCTTTTACAAAAACATCCCAATTTTGAAGGTCTACATTGCTTAAAACATTATTTTAACTGCTTATACTGTATGTTCTCAATTTCAAGGGCAACTGATGCACAAACTACCAGCAGTGCCTAGGAAGGTGGTATTACACTGGCTGCTGGCAGGAAGTATTTGAGCACATCAAGTGCTTTAAGCAAGCCCGGGGTTGTTCTTGTTGAACAAATTAAGTGCATTCAAATCTAGTAACTTACATCTTTTCAGTGTTGTTTACCAATGTACTGTATTTTTAGAATGAAATGAATACTGTATGCATTGATACCGTAATTGAGAGAGTAATATTTGCTGATCTTTTCATTTTTTTACAGGGTATCATGTCCTACTGTACTAACTTTTACATTGTTACTTAATACCAAGATTGTTCCTCAAGATCTTTCTGTTGCTTTTTTAATAAAACCTTCCTCATAGTAATCAGTTTTAATATAGTATTCTTCTTTTCCATCTCCACACCTTCTCAAATACACTGTGTTACTGTACTTGGATTGGGTCCCATTGGATTCTTCTCTTTTCACACATGACTATTGTACTATTGATTAATTTTAAAGCTGATGTGATTTGCCGTTTTCCCTATTTTGACTTAAACTCAGAAAACATTAATGTCCTACCATACTGTTTCCAGTTTGTACCAGGTGGAAGGTGAGACCAGAGAATGAAGTTATTGAGCTGGTTAAGGAAGGATGGTCCTGTATGATAGCCCTGCTGGTTGTACCAAACCTACAAAAGCAGGCATGACATGCAGGTCAATGAACAAACTGACATGCAAGTCAATTAACAAAATGTATTGTAGCATTATGTGACATTACTTGACATAGCCTGAAAGAGCTTTTACTCCAAACCTATTAGATATTTCACATACAATATTCACAAAGTACTCAATATTCAATTTTTACATAAATTGATTAATTTAAACTGTTTGAAGATCTTACATCCCAGTCAAATGTTCCAATTCCTTTACAATTTAGCGCTGTGTTTTCTAGTCAGTCATTTGTTTGGAATTAAGAATCTTAGTATATATGTAAAAACAATTTAAGTAAATCCACAGTAATTTTCAAATATATAATTTATTTTTGCAGTAAAAAAACGAATAAGCCACATACAAATACCTGGGGTTTGCACTGAGTTTTCATACATAAGGAAAATAGAAATCTGGAAAATTAACTTTAGAAAAATAGCTCTTTAACGGTGAATGATGTGAATCCCTTAAAAGCTGTACAATAAGTGTCAAAATACAATATATGCACATCTAGAAAGAATTATATATATATTTTAATATTAGGAACTGGGCAATAAGTAAAAAGTGTTAATGTTTAGCATTCAGAAGTCAGAGACTCCTTATTAAAGGTCAACTGTTGTTCCGAAAGCCTTAACTCAGGGGAAGAACTAAATTTTTTTCCGATTCATTCTTGGTAAGGATTGAAGCAATCAAGATCTATCCCAGAATCATGGGGTACACAGCGATACTGCACTCTACGATGCCAGTTAATTGTAGGCCAGACACATTTTAAAAACCGAAGTATTAGAAAAGATGTAACATTTTATGTTCTCTTCTTTCTAATGTTGACATTGCCTAATCTCACCTTGCACATAGATTTTATGTAGGATGAATTGCTTCGATCATGTTCAAATTCACTGGGAAAGGTTCGGCTAAAAGACCAGCCTCCAAATCTGTGAGAAAGTTAAGCACACACATTTATATATTTCTAATCTGAAACTCTGAAACTGTTGATATAAGAAGGAGCATGTTTTATGTAGTTCAGCCATTTGAAAAATCTTTTTTTTAATTTAAAAAAATGTAAATATAAAAGAAACATGTTTTTAAAAACAGCATTGACATGTTATCCCACATTTCTTTTAACTGCTCAGCCACTGAAGGTACTATCTCAGAGTGCAAAATGAGACCTTTAAGTTAGTCATCTCTGATTGTATCCTGCACTTATATTATCTTGCTGAAACCTTTCTGTCTTAAAATAAATATTGGTCAGTTTAGTTACCTCTTTTTAAAGACTTTTCTTGTTGTTCCTGTTAAATACTTTTCCACATTGTAGCCAGTCAAGTTATAAAGAATATCACCCTTGTTGCTTAGCAAGAATGGCACAGATATATTCAGCACAGGACATTTCTGTAATAATGATATATTAAAAGATCTTTATTGTAAGAAAAAGTATAATTTAACAGATAAATAGTGATGATAATTTCGAATTGAAATTGACAAATTCTGCAATGCTTATAGGGCAGTGAACTTAACCTGTAAGTGATGATTCTAAAAGTATTTCATGTTTCTTAACTTTAATTGAATAAAATATATTTGTTAATATAATTCAGTGTACCATAAAAAATAGAACCGTTTCTTTCATTTTTGGCTCTGCACTAAATTAAGCATACAGTTCCATCCATCCATTTTCTAAATGCTTTATTCAATATAGGGTTACAGAAGAGTCAGATTCTGGCATGCAATGGGCACATGCCAGTATACAGTAAACCCTTGATGGTATGCCAGTCTATTGAAGGGCACACACAAACACAAATATGTACGCACTCACACCTAGGACATTTATCAATGACAAGTATGTCTTTGGTCCTTGAGATGAAACAGGAGAACCCAGCAAAACACCATACAAACAAGGGTAGAACATACAAATTCTACACAGATACTGTAGTACCTGTGGAATTGAACCCAGGACCCCTGCTGCAAGGCAGAAATGCTACGGCTTTTCTGCTATGGCTGTGCAGCCGTAAAAATATGTGCAGTCTGCTTACAATTCCATAGTAAGAAAATCAATTAGTTTTTACAAAGACTACAATCACAAGCATTATTAAGATGTTTTTAGATTAAGAAATATATCTAATAAAAACTGTTTATTTTTAAGTGACTCTGAAAGCACTTGACATAGTCTTAAATGGTTCACACCAGTCATTCATTAATCAGGTTTAATGTGTCATGACACAAAAGTCAGTCCTAAGAAAACAAATCACATTTATATTTTGCCCAAAGTGGAATGTAAATGTCAGAGATGAGTTAGCATAAATATGCATAGACAGGATTTATTTGCCATAATGGGTTTGCTGATTGCTTCCCCAGAAATGCAAACATTTATCATACTTAATTTTAAGTTGTAAATGCTATGGTCTAAACTGATAATTATGATATTGTTATGCTGTATATCACATTCAAATTACCAAATCAAACATCTGACCTCCTCTTTAATGAATCTTCATGACTAATAAATTAAGTCCAACAGCTATGCTTGTTTTTATCCATCTGAATTGTTGGTATTCCAGATCAAATGCCTTCGAAGAGCCCAGTATAGGTGTGTTTGCATTTGTGTTCCAGAACTTTTCACACAGAATTCTGTAAGGCATCTTTTTTTCTGGAACAGTGCATTTACACTTGCTTGAAAGAGCAGGAAGTATGTTTCTCAGCAAACAGGTGAACACATGCTCTTTATAAAAATAAAAGAGCAGAGATAATGACATACACATCTACATTACACTCCCTGACATCAATCATGGTGGTCTATAAAAACCTTGATTCATGATCAAAGATCTCTTTTGCGCAACTGAGTGAGTCTACCTGAACTACTGTTCCAACAAGCCAAAGGCTTCTTTTCATAAGTGGCATATATTGTTCCTTTTCATTATTTCTTTATTTTTACCAGCCTTGACATTCAACTGGCTAAATTACCACATCACCTGTGTCCAATTTCTCATTAACAAGGTCATGTTGCCAAGGTCACTCAAGTTAATCACTGTCAATCATAAATAATTAACTAATTAAACATGTGGAAAGAGATTAGCATTTTCCAAATTCTGCATTTTTTATGTTTTCTGAAAACAGACTTCGATAAACAGAGGGATCACAATTGATGCTTATTGTACAGTAGTAATACACTAACTTAATACAAACATTTGTTTTTCTAGCTCTGTGGGCCTTCTCATTGACTCCCATTCAACTTAATTTAACTATTGTACTACTCTTTGCATTAAACAATGCAACTAATCATAAGTCTTTGTAATATTATATACAGAAATAGCATACCATACTAAATCCTGACAAATCTGACAAATCCTGAAAAATCTCACAATGAGTTTCAGTTAGCTATTACATTTGGCTAAAATAAAATAAAAAACATTTAATTCTGAAACAATGGATGACTTCAATCTTTGGCACTGGTTCAGTGTACTCAATTCTGTATATGTGCTGATGTAGATAATTTAATATTCATTTTTGAAAGAGTGATGTTACAACCATCATACTTCTGGTCACCACACAGTCAGACTCGGCAAAGCTCTGATAAAGCCTTTTCTGATTTATTTTTAACCCCTTTATATATATAAAAGTGGTTAATGTCCTTATTTAATTGCATCTTCCACTCAATTTAAAGTTGTTAGTTGCTTCACAGAGCTGATTTTTATCAGTATGATCTGTCTCCCTGTCCCAAAGTGATTGCATCTCACCTATGGGCTAATTTACAGTTTGTCTATAACAAGGTTTTGTTTTGGGGGATCCTTTCCACATTGTGTTTAAAGTTTAGTTGTAGTGCATCTAAATCACAATGAAATTATATATATATACCAAACTTTCTATTAAAGGGGTTTTGGTGGTGGTGGTGGTGGTTGGGGTTTTGGATGGGTTTATTATTAATATTAATTGGTGTTTGTAGAGATGTGGACCTCTACAGACTGTCTATATGCCAGGTTTGATAAACATTTTAAGCCAGCAGCTGCCCCGCAACTCACAATTGGGAACCCACTGAAGCTAAGAGGTGTGAGTCTGATCGTGACCTGGATGGAAGACCTCCTTGGAAAACTAAGGTTGCCGTTGGAAGAGGTGTTAGTAAGATCAGTAGGGACATTCATCCCACAATCTGTGTGGACCCAAAGGCCCAATATACAGTATGTAGTGATAGGGACACTGTACTGTATACAGGTGCTGACTCTCCGTGGTCATTAAAAATCAAAGGGTGTTTCTAAAAAAAGAAAAGGGATCTTACCCTGAAACCTTTCCCAATCATAACCCACTAATAAGACAATTTATGAATAGGTCTCATCACTCTGTTCTCCTCCCCACTGAAAGCTGATGTATGGTTAACATACTGGCGTGCATTGGTTGCTGTCACATCATCCAGGTGAGTGCTACACATTGGTGTTGTCGTAGGGGAGTTCTCGTTACCTCCTCTTTTGAGTAGAGTGTCCAGAGTAACACTACTTACTTTAAATGTAAGGATTTTTTTTACTATTGTTCACTTTTTATAAGACTACTGTAAATACTCTATATGGTAATAAAAAATCAAATATTTCCATGATACCACAAAGGAAAATTTAGCTTAATTGATCAGATATCAAGTGGATCAAATGGTACTTGTAAGTCCTTTTGTCATACTGTCATACTCCACTCATTGTCACTTAAATTAGTGTTATGCATCTAATGTAAGACCATTTAATTTAGAATGCAAAAAATCACTAGGACAGGTGAACTATTTTAATAAATCATACTTGGTTTAGAGAGCTATAGCTACACCTCTTCATTAAATGTATACTATCTAATAGTTTTGGTCATTTTATCATACTGCATTTGTCACGAACGTAAACCTCTCAATGATGCTCCAGCCCTTCCTTGTTCTGTACTGATCCCCTGCACCTGCCTCTGGTTCCTGCCCCCCGTGCTATAAAAGACAGACGTTCATGCCAATCTGGGCTCAGCTTTGGAAAATGGATGCCCGGAAGCCCGCCTACCCACGAGTCCAGGAGCGACTTGACGGCATAGGTGTGGTCCCGTTATCCCCTTTTATTCCCCTGACCCTCCGCCAGATCCCGCTCCGGCTTTTCACTCTGTTTGTCTGTCAGGATGGATTACCTGGTCTTGGACATTTGCTACACTCTTGGATTTGCCTCAGACTCCCTTGGACTGTTTGCTTTGGCCACACCTCCCCTGAACACCAGTCCACCATGGACACACCCCCTGTTTTCCTTCCAGCCCCCTTGCATGCCTTTTCCCCGTGTTTTCTTCACTCCCCCCCCCC